GAAGAGTAGCCGTAGCTCTCACTAGAGGATGCCTCATGGCTTGGTTAGATGAAATAGCACTTTATTTCTTTGATATTTATCCCACAGTGGATTTGAGCTGCAACAAATTATCCATAGACACCTTATCCTACCCGAAAAACTGGTTTCAGAGATCTTCAGATGGCTGAGATATCAGAGCTGTCAGAAACGAGAACACCCATCTCAAGATAACACCTGAGAGCAGCAGAGACATTGCTGGGCTCGAGCTCTCATACTTCCCCCACCAGCCTTCATGACAATCCCACAGGGATAATTGGAATTAGCCTCAGTTATCCAAAAAAGCTGACAGCCCCAAAAGCTAAGGGAACCAGTGGGGTGGAGGAAAGGCAGGTCCCCCATGTGGACTTGTCTCTATTAAGCAAGATGGACCAAGCACAAGCAGTTTGTGACAGGTATTTTAAAGACTGACATCCAGTGTGTGGATGTTCCCAGAGTTACCCAAACTTTAGACTGCTCTGATTTTAAATGAAGGATACTCTGGTAGTAATCTGACATTAGGCAAAGATGCTAACAAGAAATTAGCAACTAAATCTCCATTAACTGCTTTCAAAAAGTAACTTTAAAAAGGATCTTCCTCCTAGTTTAAGTAGAGCCAGCAGTTCCTTTCACACAAAAGGTATTTTTTTCCCCCCTCTCCATATAAATAATCTCTAATCCTCAAGAGCACCACATTGTACTTTGCTTTTCTTGGTATGATCCAAAACTAGCAAGAAAGTCCAGTAAAGTAAGACCTTTTACTCTGTATACTGGACATTTAAAAACTTCAACAACAAATTACTTCTTCGGTTAAAACTCAGACTTGGTAACAAAGAACAAAACCTCACAAAAAATAAAAACCTCTTTTTGCCATCAAGGTCATAGTAACGTTCAAGTTCATTTTGCTCCATGTTCTCTGCTGCCACCAAACATTGCCTGACCCAGCAGAAATACCTGCTCATGAGTGGTACCAGAGAGGAGCATCTCCCCCTGCACCAGCGCTCGTCCAGCACATTCTTCTGCTTCTTTTGGCCTCCTGCTCCCTGGAAGCTTTTTGGAAAAATTACTTACAAGGAGCTGAGTGACACACGCCATAAAGCCAGAATAGCAACACCGGCCTCACCCCACAATTTCCCCTTTCTGGCTGGAGGATGGCCCAAAGTCCACTCAGGGATTCCTCCCAGCCCATCACCATGGAGTCAGGCCACCCGCTCACTGGAAAGATGCCACGTTGCAAAATAAGACTCTCGCCAAGCTCTGACAGCAGAGTCCAGGCTGAAAAACTTTAAATCCTTGCTCAGATGCTAATAAGAAACCTACCTTGGGGTGTTTTTTTTTTAGTTATAAAGCCCAAAGAGGGCAGCGAGGAGGAGGAACGAGCCGTTCCTGCTGCTGGAACGCTGTACTCACAGAGACCGTGTTGGACTGCAGCTGAGCTGATGCTATTTAGGGAGCTACCAGCAGTTTTAGGATTGAACGAGACCAAATGAGTGATTGCAACACCAATTTTGTCCAATAACTAACCTGAGCATGAAGGAACAGCCATGCCATGAACAAACTGAGCGTTTTTATAGAGCTTTCATAGCATTTTAAATCCAGAAGAAATCTCAGAAGTAGCTTGAGCTGTCCAGATAATTAAACCCGTGAAATTTTGTCTCTTTGGAAATCAGGGGGATGTAACTTTTATTTGACTTTTTCTTAAATGGCTTCAGGATGCCAGGTTAAATTGCTTTAGAAAAAACCATTCAGTTCAGTAATCAACTCGGCCCTCTTGGCTCGTGTTTAGCACAGGCAGACAAAGGGAAGAGAAAATGAAGGAGAAGAGGCTCAATACCATCCACGTCTCAAAGAAATTACAATCTACCCCTCAAAAAATAGAAATCACAAAAGGACTAGGCTGCAATTCAGGTATAATTTAGGCTGCCAGTAACAACCAACTAATCTATTGCCTTCATCCACTTATATCTTCCTCCACCATCACCCAAGCCCCCCATTAATTATTTAGCTCTAATTGGCAATTAAGGAACTCACCAATACACTAATTTACATCTAAATGAACAAAGGCACGGAAAGGGTAGCTGCAAAGAATAGCTTTGGATCGTCCCTGCAGCAGAGCCTGCTCTGCTCTTCATTATTTGCAAACTGTAACACGTTAGTAGCGCATTTTTTCTTTTAATAAATCCAAACGTCAAAGATCCTGAGGCATCTCTGGTCCTGATTAAGTGCTTGAAAAATAAACTTGTCCCAAATCCAGAATATCATTAGTCTTCCCCTGCAGATGGATGAATTCCCCCCCCTTTCCTTATTATGGCAACGTCTCACCAATTCACACCAGTCACCCGGAGAACAGCCACCAGTGAAGGGAAGTGAGCATGGGATGGGGCACCACCTCCTAAACAGGATCCATCAGGACTAATCAAGGAGGTAGAGACCACTATTCAGACATGCTCAGGAGGAGTGATTTTGCCATCTCAGCTCATTATCATCATTACAAGCCCAACCTGCAATCATCCTCATCAGCAGTGCCCTCACCTGCGAGCCTGCCCGTGCCTGCAACACTTGAGCCATGATGAAACCCTGGAGCAGAAGAGATGAACCCAGCTGCAAAAGGCCACTTGGCCATAGAATCATGGAATGTGTTGGGTTGGAAGGGACCTTTAAAGGTCATCTACATCAAAACCCCTGCAGTAAGGAAGGACATCTTTAACTAGATCAGGTTGCTCAGAGCCTCATCAAGCCTGACGTTGGATGTGTCCAAAGATGGGACCTCCACCACCTCTCTGGGCAGCCTGGGCTGATGTCTCATCACCCTTACGAAACCCTGGAGCAGAAGAGATGAACCCAGCTGCAAAAGGCCACTTGGCCATAGAATCATGGAATGTGTTGGGTTGGAAGGGACCTTTAAAGGTCATCTACATCAAAACCCCTGCAGTAAGGAAGGACATCTTTAACTAGATCAGGTTGCTCAGAGCCTCATCAAGCCTGACGTTGGATGTGTCCAAAGATGGGACCTCCACCACCTCTCTGGGCAGCCTGGGCTGATGTCTCACCACCCTTACTGTAAAGAACTTCTTCCTAATGTCTAACCTAAACCTACCCTGCTCTGGTTGAAAACCATTGCCCCTCATCCTATCTCTGCATGCCCTTGCAAACAGCCCCTCCCCAGCTTTCCTGGAGCCCCTTCAGGTACTGGAAAGTGCTATAAGGTCTCTCTGGAACCTTGTTTTCTCCAGGCTGAACACCCCCAACAAACACAAAGCATAATTTGCATGAAGGAGTTACCAAGGGGTAGCCAGACAGTTAAAGCCAGGCAGGAGAACAGAGACTATCCCCAAACGGTTAACAGCAACACTGGGGAGGGCAAAGGGAATACAGAAAGGAGTCTATACTGCTCAGTCACACACCAAAAATATCTCAATTTACATTTGCTGGCAGGTTTCCCCCTCAGGATGTCTGTTTGCATGAACTCAGACAACAAACCTTGGCTAGAATTCCCAAATAAAGCAGAAACAGAAAGGACTTGCAGCCCCCCTCACTCGGAGCAGTCCCCCGTCTCCCCTGATCCGTGCTGAGGAGCAGAGACGCGCTCCAAGCTCCAGTGAGGAGGAGGCAGCTCCCAGCACCATGAAAACCAGTGGGACTCGGGAGCAGCCACCCCTCTCCCACCACTGGACTTCCCTGGGGTGCCATGCCAAGGAAGTGTGATGCTTTGTAAGCCCCAGAATCACAACCACCTCTCTGATGGTTGGACTAGATGATCTGAAAGGTCCCTTCCAGCCTGGGCAATACTATGACTCCCCCACTGCAGAGATGCAGCCCTTCCAGACCTTCAAGGTCACCTTGGATGGGGCTATGAACAACCTGGTCTAGTGGGAGGTGTCCTTGCCCAGGGCACGATGGTTGGAACTAGATGATCTTTAAGGTCCCTTCCAAGCCAAACCATTCTATGCTTCCCACTTCTTCAATGATGCTGAGCAGCAGCAGCAAGTCTTCCACAGACCAACCTCACATCCCACACCTGGGCAGAAGCAGCAGTCATCCAGCCTCCTCTTCCCTGTAGAGACCTGCCACCCTGCTAACCTCACCCTCCAAACAAACCCAGCTGCAGCCAGGCCCACCAGCAGATCCACAAACACCTCTGTGCACAGGGTGGCTTCATCTATCTCATCATTACCTTCATCAAGCCACCTCTCCTGGGCTCAATTTAAGCACACAAGAAGGTTGTCTAAACTCACCTCAGTCCCTTCCAAGCCAAACCATTCTATGCTTCCCACTTCTTCAATGATGCTGAGCAGCAGCAGCAAGTCTTCCACAGACCAACCTCACATCCCACACCTGGGCAGAAGCAGCAGTCATCCAGCCTCCTCTTCCCTGTAGAGACCTGCCACCCTGCTAACCTCACCCTCCAAGCAAACCCAGCTGCAGCCAGGCCCACCAGCAGATCCACAAACACCTCTGTGCACAGGGTGGCTTCATCTATCTCATCATTACCTTCATCGCAGCAAGTCTTCCACAGACCAACCTCACATCCCACACCTGGGCAGAAGCAGCAGTCATCCAGCCTCCTCTTCCCTGTAGAGACCTGCCACCCTGCTAACCTCACCCTCCAAGCAAACCCAGCTGCAGCCAGGCCCACCAGCAGATCCACAAACACCTCTGTGCACAGGGTGGCCTCATCCATCTCATCATCACCTTCATCAAGCCACCTCTCCTGGGCTCAATTTAAGCGCACAAGAAGGTCACCTAAACTCATCTTGGCCCCCACCAGCTCTGAGACATGTCAAGTGACATTCAAACCCTTTTAAGAGAGATATTGCAATGAAGAAAATAACTGGTAGCCTTGCGTGAGTATTTTGGCCTTTTACCTGATTGCCCTTTGGATTAACTCATTTCTCTAGAAGATATCATGGTGGTGAGATACCAGAGGGACATGGGGAGGGGTGTTCCCTGCACATACATGACCTGCAACAAGGCAGGAGTCATACCTGAGCAGACGAGGCCTGGATTTCATTGGTTTCTTTCGGCACCTAGACAGTGGGAGAGAGAAAGAGGAAAAATATCACTGTCCAAGGACCTGCACGGACTGAAGTGTGTGTTTATTGTTGGCTCCAGGACTGAAGAGCCTCTGAGGGCACAGGAAGCATCCAGGGAGTGCACACTGGGAACCAGTCATTCATGGTGGCATGAGGGAATAGCTTTTGGTTAAACCTCTCAAGTCTTCGGGTGATTTTTGCAGTTTCTTTGGGTTTTGAAGCTAACCAGTCCCCAGGAGGGCCAGCAAGGGATGGGAACTGGTGTGACATAGGGCAGAATTATTACCGCTTGCAGTCAACTTATTGGTGCTTAAAATAAAACCATCCTCCTGCTGGGTGAGCCACTGGAGCCATTCAGGAGAGTACTCCAGGCCTACAGAGCACAGGATAATGCAGATACTAAGAGTCACTTAAGAGGAGCCCATCACCTTGTAGGCTCAGAGGACACATCTTGTAGTTTTTAAATCAGAGATTTGGTTTTATTCTTAGCTTTAGTGAGCGAGTCATAGAATTGCCAAGGTTGGAAGGGCCCTTTTAGATTGAGTCCAACCATCAACCCAACACTGACAAAACCCGTCACTAAACCATATCTCTGAGCACAACATCTGCACACCTTTTACATACTGCCAGCCACAGTGACTCAACCACTTCCCTGAGTAGTCTGTTCCAATGCTTAATAACCCTTTCAGTGTAAAATTTTTTCCTAAAATCTAGTCTAAACTTCCCCTGGTGGAGCTTGAGGCCATTTCCTCTTGTTCTATCGTCTGTTACTTGGAAGTCCAGCTTATCCCAGAGCTACAGCCGGTATCCAAGAGCTGTCAGCATGAGAAATGCCAGGTACCACATTGGGGATGACCATGGTTACACTTGCTGGGAACTTGGACACACTAATCTCCCCCTCAGAGCAGGCAGACAACCAGCACGACCTGCTCTGCATTGCGTACTCCGCCTTCTCCACATTTCCTCCCTGGCAAAGCCAGCTCCTACTTAATCCCTTATGATCATGGCTTTTCCTAAAATCCTCCTCTTAAATAAATACAGAAATTGATGCAGCCCACGCTGGGGAGTGGGGCAATGACTGCAGGGCTGCTCCAGGCCCAGGGAGAGGCAGCAGCACCCGCTGGGTTTCACCAGTCCCTGGGTGTCACAGCTCCCTGGGTGTCCTGGCACCAGGATCCTGCAGGAAGGAAACCTTGGGCAGGACCCAGACAGAGTAGATGACCCATCCCACATCCAGTTCCCTCCCCTGACATTGCCACCTCCCAGGTCCTCACTAGACCATCAGAAAAGGGTATCACACAGGGGAGGTTCATGCCAAACACTGATATTAGGTACTTGCCTCTTCAGCAAGCCGTCTCCAAGACTGCTACAAGGTCCTTCTAGATACCTGGCCTAGAGAGATGAGGTGTCTCCCTGGGCCAACTCTACCTTCCAAGGAAAGCCTGGGTGCTTCATATCTTTAGGGATTTACTATGTCATAAAAGTAAAATCCACAAAACATCCATTTTTCCAGCAAAGCTGACAAGACAGAGACGACAGCCTTTGAAAGGACAATGCATCCAAGGGTGTGATGCCGCAACCTTGCTGGGAGCGGGCAAGAATTTCAGAGTGATGTACAGTTTGCCCCCTCCCAAAAAGCAAAGTTCCAGCTGCAACATTACTCATCAGCTACTCAAAACTTTCCTGTATTAAACACATGAGCACATACACGCACACACCCAGGCTTTCTTTGGCTCAGAAACCCTCCCTTTAACTCATTCTCCCTTTGCACCAAACCCATCTATGACTTGAAGGGAGGCTTTGGATGGTGAAAGAAGAACCACCCCATGGGCTGGCCACCATCGCTTCCTCACATCTCAACTCAACTTGGGACCCAAGAACTTCCAAGTCTGCATTAACCCCATGGGTTGATCCTTCCATTTGAACTGTGAACACCAAAAGGAGGTTGGGCCAGCAACCCCCAAGTTTTCCAGCTGCCCTCAGCCATACCTCTGGCCAGGCTGGTGAGAGCTGCCATGGGGAACCAAAGCGGTTGAGGTTGAAGGAGCGAGTGCAGGTTGAGTTGTAGCTGCGGCAGTGCTCCCCAGCAGCTGCTGGGTCTCCCATCACGAAGGTCAGTTGCTGTAGAGCACCCTGGGGAGGAAGAGACACAGAAACCATAGTTTGCCCACATGGTCCTTCCAGAGGGAAGGACAAAGTCTAGGGGGTGAGGGTGGTGATGTCTCCACCCTCTCATAACCAGGGACTTCTTTGCAGGAGGGTTTAGGCAATCAACATTCACTCCCCATCTTCAAGAGCTGGATGCAAAGATCCTGGGAACAAAGGCTAAGAGCCAGCAACGTGCAAGATATTCTTGAGTTAAACAGGGAGGATTCGTGAGGCACTAAGCACACTGCAGCTGGTCTTCCTCCCCAGGCTGGAGGTATAGCTGGGCACTGTAAACTAGGGACAAGGAGAGAGCTACCCCACAGAAAGGCAGAAAAAGTTCAGATTGATGACACAAATCAGGGCTTGGTCTCAGAAATGCCACTTGGACTTTTTCTATAAGAGCTAGATCTGTTTGGTGCCCTCAGTTTCTGTGTTTGAGGTTGACCATCAGATATATCTCAACACAAAGCCTGATAGTCTTTGAATTTATCAGGCATTTTAACAAGGCCATCTCCTTTGGCCCACTGGGAATCCTTTGTCTGTAAAGCCCTCAGAGCAGGGACTTTATCTTCAATACATGCATGGGACAAGCTCCACACCAAATGCTTTGTTGACTGCACAGACAACTTCTGTACATGGTACAAGTTCATGGTCACCAAGAATCAACCTGTAACCTAGAGGTCTCTGCTGCTGACCTGGCTGCTGGCACTTGTGCTGCCCTGACCCAAAAGCAAGCACTTTGCACAATTCAAAGCCTTTGCAAAGCTCACCCTCCCCAGCCGTGAAAATAAATAGTGGATTTTAAGAAAAGTCACTGGATTCCTTCAGAGGGAGTTGCAGCCTCACCTCATGCAGCTACAGCAGACCGTGTCCTCAAGTACAGGCCTGCCAAGCTCTCACCTTAAAGGGGATCTCGAAGGATTCAATCAGGCCTCCAACGATGATCAGCCCCTCGGTGTTCACTCCCATCCCAAAATAATTGGACCAGCTCACTCTGTCCACCAGCCGACAGTCCACGTGCAGCTCCAGCCTCTCCAAGGAGATGCTGAGAGCAACTTGGTGCCAGTGCCCGTCGCCAAGAAAGGAAACTGGGAACCTGCGTGTCCCAGAGCGGGAAGGAAAGAGGCACAACATCAAACTTAGGTCCCACACCGTACACAGGTCTGAGCTTCAGTCTTATCAGCTCCCAGGGTCCCTCATGTATCCATCCTTAGCACAGATGCAAAGGGCAGTAGCAGAGAAATTAAGTCTACCTTATTGTCACATGTCAGCACCATTACTTCTCTTCCAGCACAGGAATTCTATTTCTATCCAATGGATTTTGGCACATCTACAACCAGTTGAGGTGTCTGGGAAACTATTGTTATTTGTGTCACTCCCCACTTGATTTATCCCCTTCTTGTTCTTTGCTTTGTTTTCCAGATCTGCATCATTTTGACAGGGTAGAGTTTGGCAGGGACTACCTGTGCAGTCACACAACCAGGTCTGAGGGACCATCACCCAGGTGGGGGGACATGACCATGGTTCAGTTAAGGTGGAGGTCAGAGCAGCACTTCTCAAAGCCCATAATGGAAAACCTTAACCCTGACCTTGGGAGCAGAAAGGGAAGGATGAAAAGACAGAAAAAAGCACCCGAGATGGAACTTACTCATAGTGTCTCCTCCTTGTGGTGACAAAGACCAAGGCATATGGGTTAATCCTGATCTGGAAGAGCACGTGGCTCCGATGGCTGAGGATGGTCACTAGGCTGGTGTCCTCCTTCAGCGAGTACCTGAGTTTCATCAGCACACTCAGCTCGTCTGCAAACCTAGCAGAAAGAAGGGACACGTGACATCCTGCAGCAGCTGCTGTATCACCATGAACTGCTCTTAGGACAAAAAAAAACATGAGTCACAGCACAAACGAATTCAGTGAGAACATCAAATAAAAAAATAACAAGAGCAGTCATTCCGGTTGGAAGGTCAGGTACTCAAAAGAAGCAGCCAGGCCAAAATTAACATTGCCCATATAACCTTAACACATCCCTCTCAGGTGCAATGTGGCCACACGTAGTTTTCCATGGAGCTCCTGCCCTGCCCATTGCTGAGATGGGACAGTGACTCTGTTACAAGGAGCTCTTCAATGCTGCCTTCTCTTACCATGCCCAGTGTCCTTGGCCACAAGCTACAGCCCCGTATCAAGTACGGCAAAGGTCCAACCTGTCCTACACCTCCCCAGGGCCTGGGCATCAAGCAATGCTGAGGGATATGGCTGTGCTGTCTCTCCTGCTCTCTCCAGTGCTGGAGCAGAGAGGTTTTCCTGATGGGAACACCAAGAAAATGCATTCCTGGAAATGGTCAGTCAAGTGCTGTGCCGATGTGTCATCCCTGCACGTGAGCAAGAGTGATGGAAGAAAGGGAGGAAGCACTGAGCTCATAAGAGCACAGAGTGGATGTTTTACCTTCCTGTTGTCATGGAATGGGGTCTCAAATGACCCCTCAAACCACCAAGCATGCATGAGGTGATTTTGAGCACCACCATCCCATCCCCGTCCCCCTGAAGGCACCCTACCTGTCCCCAAAGGCCTCCCTCGTGGGGATGTTGAGGGTGGCGTACTGCCCGATCTCCAGGATGCTGCAGTTGGCTTCATCATAGCCAAAGGAAATATTGCTGAGGTCCTGGGCATGGGAAGTAATTTTGTCCAGCAAGTTCACTTCATCTGCACGGGAGAAGAGAGATGCTCAGTAGCTGAGATACCTTCACTACAGGGCTCTGCTCTCTTTGGTCTTCCTATTAGACAATAGACAAAACCACCAGGAAGAAGGGAACGCCATTTGGGGAAATTAAAATAATATAAAAATTCAGTAAACTTGGACCAAAGCAAACATTCAGATAACTTCAGAAGCAGGAAGGTGATATTTTGAAACAGAATACATGCTTCAAGGCCAGTGTCCTGAAAACATGAAGGGTCATTCTTACCCCAGCAGTGGTGGTACCTTTATGACCATAGAGTTGGGATGCTCAGGAGTGTAAAGCAGAGCCTGGGACACAAATGTCCTAAAACACAAGTCCTGCATCAGAAAATCCTGCTCAGTCCTTTCCCACTCTTCCTTGTTGAAGTTTGGACATTTTCAATAATGAATTGGACCAAGGAGTGGGATGAAGTTAGTGTGTCCCTCCCTGAGGCAGGTGTCCTGACCAGACCACAGGGACACTGTCCTCTGCCCAAAGCAGGGTTCATCGCTATGAGAAGGTCAGGAGCTCCACCAGGAGCTGTGCATCACACAACACCCCTTTTCCCAGCAGGCACAAGGCCCACTTTCAGAGCTAAGCTGTGAACATCCAAGATGGTTTGAACTGGGCAAGAGCCCCTGGTCTGGGCTATTTGGCAGCTCCATCACTTCAGGCTCACAAGGAGCTTTTAAGTCCCTTGGTGAACAGAGACATTCCCTTTCCAAGTCCATTCTTTAAAGAACTGTAAATAAACTCTTTAACCAAATGAGCTACAGAAATACCTAAACAAAATTTTGTTTAAAACCACCAGGTTCCTTGTTCCCCTCCATTAGCAAAAAAAAATTGCAGACATCTGGCACTACCCAGACACGCTGCTTCTACCTCTGAGACATCTACAACCAGGTCCCTCCTTTCTTCTCATCCCTTTATTCAGTTGGGCAGCGTGGCAATAACGCTGCCACCTGCAAGGGATGGGGACGAGGGACAGCCCCAGGGCAGCACTCCATGGGCCCAGCCTTGCAGGAGGGGTCTGGACCACTCCAGACCCACAGCCCCTTTGCTGGGAGGACCTGGACTTGATGACTTGTCAACGGGAACCCTGCCAGTACCATCTGCACAAAGCATCTGCCATCACTTGGGAGGCATCCAGCCTCTGCATTGACTCTTAATTCCCACTGACGATGAGGTAGGAGATTTATTTGAGGGCAGATGAAGAGCCTCGAGCACGCTGCAGCCTGACAGGAGATACACACACCGTACAGACCCGCTGCTCTGGAAAATAACAAGTCAATTGAGCAGAAAGCTGCTTTGATCCAGTTCAGACACCAACACAGCAGTCCTGCCACCTTCTCCTCAAAAGATTTTGCACGGGAAAGAGCCTCATGCTGGGAAGGAGGGGAGGGAATGGGGTCCTGCAGGAGACTTGGCCATTTGTGGCGATTTGGGATTTCACCTGGTATTTCCCCAGCTCCCCACATGGTCACAGCATCAGTGTGTTCCCAGGCAACTCTCAGCTCAGCAACAAGAATGTGCAACAGCCTCGGGCAGCCAGGAACATTGCAAAAAATGGTACCAAACCAGACAGGGTGCAGGGCTGAGCCCCTCGGAGACCAAAACAGTCATAAAACCCTGAAACAGTACTGAGTTTATCAGTGCTGCCAGTGATGTGCGGGCACAGCATGGGGAATTAATCTGAGGCCAAACACAGCTGATGGAGGGGCAAAAATATCAGGAATGTTTGTCCTTTCCCATTCCCAAGCAGTTTTCAGGAGGCGATTTCCCAGCTGCAGACACCAATGGATGTGCCAAGACCTGCAGGCTCCATCTCAAGGGGCTGCAGCCCTCATCACCCATCAGCTTCGCTGGCGGCTACAGGCAGACACGTGTGAATTCAGTGGATTCTGTCAAGTCAAGAGCATTCCTACCCAAGCTGCAGCCAGGGACTTAGTCCTAGAAATAACTTATATGGGAGTTTTCCTGAGCAGGGTACGGCCCTAACACACGACTTGAGCATTTGCCGAAAGTTAAAACCATGGTCCATGACAAGATGTGCATCTAGGGTCAAAGTTAAGCATGTGCTTGGTGCTCTCCTAAATAAGGTAGCAGAGACTCCTCTCCCCTAAAAGAGAGAGCCATCACAGGGCAGGGCTACGCCAGCAGGTTTAAACAGCCATGGAATCATAGAATTGCCCAGGTTGGAAGGGACCTTTCAGATCATTGAGTCCAACCATCCACCCAATGCTGACAAAACCCATCATTAAACCATGTCCCTCAGCACCCTATCTGCCTGGCTTTTAAATACCTCCAGGGATTGCTACTCAGCCATCCTGGTGACTCATCCACCAACCTGGGCAGCCTGTTCCAATATTTAACCCTTTCAGTGTAAATATTTTTCCTAATATCTGTCCTAAAATCCCCCTGGTGCTACTTGAGGCTGTTTCCTCTTGTTCCATCACCTGTTACTTGGGAGAAGAGACTGACCAGGTCCCACAGGCAGGGCTGGTGTTTCCTTCTGGACCCAAGAGAAGAACTTGGCATAAAAGAAAAACAGAATTCAGGATGAAACTAATGAGATCTCTGAAGTTCCAGGTGAAGGGACGGGTAGGAAGCACAACTCATCATAGTTGAGGGAGCGACTGTCCACAGCATAGAGTGCCAGCACACATGGCACCCAAGGAGGACACCGTCTGAACCCCAGCTCCAAGAGAGGAGCTACGCACCGCTGCAGCCTCTCCCATGGCAGCCATCAGAGCCTGAACTCCCCAGGAAGGATTCAGTCACATTCCCACCCCTGGGAACATCTCTCCCCACATTTGCACACACACTGTGACTTCAGTGTAAATATTTTTCCTAATATCTGTCCTAAAATCCCCCTGGTGCTACTTGAGGCTGTTTCCTCTTGTTCCATCACCTGTTACTTGGGAGAAGAGACTGACCAGGTCCCACAGGCAGGGCTGGTGTTTCCTTCTGGACCCAAGAGAAGAACTTGGCATAAAAGAAAAACAGAATTCAGGATGAAACTAATGAGATCTCTGAAGTTCCAGGTGAAGGGACGGGTAGGAAGCACAACTCATCATAGTTGAGGGAGCGACTGTCCACAGCATAGAGTGCCAGCACACATGGCACCCAAGGAGGACACCGTCTGAACCCCAGCTCCAAGAGAGGAGCTACGCACCGCTGCAGCCTCTCCCATGGCAGCCATCAGAGCCTGAACTCCCCAGGAAGGATTCAGTCACATTCCCACCCCTGGGAACATCTCTCCCCACATTTGCACACACACTGTGACCCTCAGAGCGAGAGCTGAGCGCAGCCACCAGCAGTTGAGAGGGTGATGCCAAACCTCAACTGGAGACAAGCAAAGACACCCAAATGCCAGCAGACCATTTCAAACGCCAGCCCCTGGGCAGATCAGCCACTGCAAACACCACTCTCCTCTCCTAGACATCCCCCATGAGCCAAAAGAGAAATGTTGAAATAAACGATGCATTTCTCCAACACCAGCCCTCACGCAGAGCTGGGGAAGCTGGAGAGCAGATGCCCTCTTCCCTCTTTACCAGCCCCAGCTCTTCCAAATGCAACATTTTCTTCCCCCTCCCTGCTCTCCAGAAGCAGTTTTCCATGTATTTATTTTAGCCACATCTGGCTAGTTTCTTGGGATAAGCCAGGGGGGCCTCAGAAACGCCTGCAGCACCAGCAGAGCATCAGATGGGATCAATTGACTTTGCAGAGTGTCTTTGTTGCAGTAGCTGTGGCTCAGGGCACCCCACTCTCATCCTGGGGCAGAAGCTGATGCACAGCCAGGGTGTTTATGACACTGGATTTTGGGCTCGACCAGCTCCAACAGCAAAGCTTTGACTCGCAAAGTCTCCTCAGGGTTAACCAAGGGTCAGCTCCCCATCCTGGCGCTGCTGGGGTTCTGGGTGCTACAAGAACCTCACAGATCTACTTTACATTTCAAAGCAGGTTTGTTTTCTCTCTGCCTTAACCTCTGGGAGCAGACACGCTGCTTCTTGAGGACACAGATTACCTGTGGAAGCAACTCTCAGCCACAGCATCTGAGTCACCAGCTGCCAGAGACTGGGGTCACAGCCCTTCTGGAAGCTGATTAATCCCAGGCAGGTGGATGCTGAGGATGCAGAGTCAGGGATGGACAGACCATACAACTGACACAGTAGCTCTGTTTCCTTTATAAAAAAAAAATAATCATGTTTTCTCATGAGCTTTCAGCTTTCCTAGGGCTCAGATGCCCCACAGGCATTGACCCCACAGCCTTGCTTCACAGCCAGGCTTCCCCATCTCCTTCCAGCAGCCACCAGTGAGCAGAGCTCTTCTCACAAACGCTCTTTCTGCAAGTGCTGAGCAAACCTTCAGCACCAGCGGGCTCCTACCTCCACCCTGGAGACACCTTGCAGAGGCAGGGCTCACACAAAGCTGTGTTCCCAGTCCAGCTTTGCTTGCGCTGGGCTCTCGACTTGGGTTCTTCCTTGCCCATCCATAGGAGGAACAGGCAAGACCACCCACAGTGCGCGTTCGGGACATTCAGCACGTCAAACCAGCATCTTTGCTAGTCAACATCAAACCAAAAGCCTGCAGAATGGTTATTTCTACACTGGAAAGGAGATTCCTGGAGTTCCCCAGCTTCTGCCAAATGCAGCTTGCCTCCAGGCTCCCGAAGCAGCCCAGGAATCTTCCCAAGGCAGCCCTGTGCCAGGGAGACTTGTGCACGGGCCAACCTCAGCAAGGACAAGCATCAGCCCGTGGAGCCAGAGCCAAGAACCGGGCATCCCATCCTAAGCTTTTTAACCCCCCCCAGGTCCAAGTTAGCCTGCAGTCATCAGGGGGACAAGCATGTTTTGGGAGAAACACTCCCAAGGACTGGGAGCAGAGCTATCAGCGGGAAGGGGGACACCAATAAAAAGCTATCAGAGATCCAGCATGGAGAGGTGGAATCACACCCCATGAACCCATTGGGGTGATTGATGTTGCATCAGGAGATCTCTGCCTCCAAGGGCCCAGAAACCATACCAAGAGAAACAGCCAGACTGACCTGGTGTTTTAGGGCAGAGGAACCTAAATTCTAAGAATTTAGATTTGCAGATGAATTCTAAGAATTTATATTTGGATGCAGAGATTCAGCAATTCTAAAGTCAGACTACAAGAGAAAACAGCAGATAAATTCTCTTATTATCAGCAGTGTGCCCTGGACCATCATTACCTCCACTGCCTTGGTCTGAGACAACTGGTGCTTATTAAAAAAAAAACAACCCGACTTCTTGTTTGTTTCCTTTGCAAAAAAAAAGTTAAACAGTAAATCCCCCCCAAATTTATGCATCCCTTTTTTCAAAATGAAGTCACTTAGAAAAACACACACAAAGAGGGATTAGAGACTTTACCCCACCACTTGCAGAAGTTATAAACAAATTCCAGCTCAGATATTAAGCACACAAAAAGCACCGGCCCTTCTATGGTAAAGAAGAAATGAAAGCAGGGGGGTCTGCAGATGCCTTGGCACTGGAGCTCAGATATTAAGCACACAAAAAGCACCGGCCCTTCTATGGTAAAGAAGAAATGAAAGCAGGGGGGTCTGCAGATGCCTTGGTGTTGGGGACTCTGTCAACGTACCTGCATAAGCTGCATATTTTCTATACAGGGTTTTTCTGCCCCCATCAGATTAAATTCCCAAGGAACAAGAGGAGAAATAAGAAACACGGACAATGCCCTGGTCAGACTGGAGACCCAGAAGACAACCCCAAAAGTAAATCCATGTTTTGAGAAGGAGGGTACAGCCAGGGAACCTTGAAGAGAGGGATTTTGGTTCTTCTGCAAGGCCCATGGGGAACACACCTGGTGTTCCAGGCAACCACCAGCCTGGGCAGCTGAGAGGGAAGGTGGCAAGGAGCACCAAGTTGCCCCCAGGGGCTGATGAGCCAGGGGACCCCAGTGCAGGCAGTGGCTTGCCAACAGGCATGGTCCCAAGGGTGGCCAACACAACAGGCAGAGCCAGCCACTGGTGACAGGGTCCACAGGCAGCCCCAGGCAAGGCCAGCCACGAATGAGGTTCAGGGTTCCCCACAGAGAAAGTGCAAAGGAAGGCATAGGCATAAACTGGTCTGGAGAAAAGGCTACAATGTGGATGCAAAGTCCATCCAAGAGACAAAGATGGGATGGGAGATAAACACACAAGGGGTCCTACCAGGAGATGAGCTCTACCCAGTGAAGGTCCATGGTCCACCCAGGAGGCAAAGCCAAAGACACAGCCAGAGGCAACCATCCTATGCTACAACTCAAGAGAGAGCTAGGGGCACAGGGCTGAGCTTAAATGGGGCTCTTGGGATGAGGTTGTGGGTGGAGGTCCCAGGTGAAGCTGGTCAGGGCCATTAAGGTTCATTAGTGCTCATTAGCACTCTCAGAGACCAGACAGGATTCAGCTGTGGTCCTCCCCAACCCCACCCTGTCCCTGGGACTGCACCCCAGAGGAAGGTGTTCTTGGGAGGGACAGGGTTGTAGACAGAGAAAAGCAACCACCAGTGCTTTCCTCTGGCTTGTACACACACGTGGAGCTTACACCCAGCTTTATGTTCTCCCCAAAAGAGGGAACTGAGGGAAAAAGGAATGATATTAAACAACATAAAACATAATTGGAGCCCTGGGAGAGCTCGTAACAGGGTCTGTCAGACTGAGTCACATCCCCTGGATACGGCACTGCTGGTTGGGACCTGAAATAACTGGGTTGGACAAGTCCTGGGGACAACGCCAGAGGACAACCCTGGTGCTTGCTGGCTGGGGAACAGAACATATGACCTAACGGGTCTTTTCTTCCTCTGATTTCTGAGTGCCTTATGAAAATGTCCTGCCAGGAGTCTGCTTAGGATCACAGGCCACGCACTTCAAACCCTGAATTAGAGAGGCTTGTACATCACAGCTAGAATTTAATAATAGAGACATTAAATGATGGAAAAAGAGGACTTTATGGAGGGGCAAGGGTTTTCTCGCACCTCACACCACTGACACCACCACATTAGCACAGGCATGGTCCGGAGCCAAGCATTCAAAGCAAGACAGCACACCCAAAACATAGACGCTCCTCCAGTCCCCCCTTGGTAGCTTACACTTCTCCACTCTTTCAATGTCTTGAAAGATGTTCTTGGGCTTGGACATCTCTGACCTTCTCTGGACTGAGGGGAACCAAGATGGCAACTTCATATTTGTTTGGACTTGACTGATGACTCTGTACATAGGGTAGACAAGGTCAAGGACATCTCCGCAGTGTTGGTTTTGGAGGACATCAACCCTTCCGCAGCTCTTCCTGCTTCTCTTTCTATCCTAGCATTGCTTGTAACATAAATAATGTCCACGGCAGCCATCCGTGTCACCTCCTGCGCCACGTTTGTTCCCTACTGTTCCAATTTCCCTTGTCACCTAATAATTTCTTTTTAAGGGCAACACCAGAAGCCACACGAGACAAAGTCTAAGCCGAAGCGCACAGAGCTCGCAGTGACGGACCCGCATTCAGAGGGATGTACAACGGGATTTCAACCTTCGCCTCCCTGCTCCGGAGAGCAGAGATAATTTGGTTTTGACTCAGTGGCTGCAAGTTGAAGGGAACTGAGCCAAAGCAGGAAGAAAAAAAAAAAAAGAAAAAACGCACATTTCTCACGGAGAGCGTTGTACCTATTAGCGGAAGAGTGAATGCAGCCACCCACCCACAGAGAGGACAGAAAATTTCAGGGAAGCGAAACCTTTTCAGAAGAAAGGGCTAGCCGTACACATTGTTTAGACAGGAAAAAACCTAGCACAGGCTTCTTTTCAAGCTCATTACGCAGATCTGCAGGCGTGCTGCCGCTCCTTTGTACAGGCCCAGCACGGGGGGCTCTGCCGGGATAGGGATGGGGCTTCTGGGGACAAAGCCTGGGGAGGAGGAAGGGCTGCTGGAAGTTGAGGATGACCCCGAGTGAGGATACGCTGGCTCCAAGAAAAAGTAGGCCAAGTCCCAGAAAAAGAAGAGAGCCCGCGAAAGAGCTTTTGGGAGAAGAGCAATGGGAGCAGGAAAGCAAAGAGTTTAGGAGTCACCCAACCCACAACGGGGACGATGAAACCAGGGTGGCCACAGGAATGGGGACAGAGGCTCGGCAGGCACTTCAGCCTTCAGTTGCACCATCCTCCTCAGGTCTTCTCTCTGCAAATCACAACTGCCCAAGCCATGAGACGGCATGAAAATCTCATCCCATTAATGATGATTAACGTTCCCACTGGAACAGGTTGCCCAGGGAGGTGGTTGAGGCCCCTTCCCTGGAGATATTCAAGGTGAGGCTCGACGAGGCCCTGGGCAACCTGGTCTAGTTGGGGGTGTCCCTGCTGACTGCGGGGGGGGTCGGACTAGATGACCTTGAAGGTCCCTTCCGACCCAGATGATTCTATGATAATTGAAAGCGGTCCCTTCCAACCCAGATGATTCTATGATAATTGAAAGAGTGTCTTTCCTGCCCTTGTGGGGACAGGGAAAGGCTTTGCAAACATGGAGCAAATCAACATCCTGACAGGTGGGAAACGAGAGTCCAAAGACCCCTTTGAAGGAGGTGCTGGGAAGGGCTGGGAAGGAAAGCTCACAATGGCTTGCTGCTCTGCAGGACCTGGTGGCCTCACTTGGATTGGTTTGGTTTTGGGTTTATTTTATAAGAAGACAAAAAAGAAGCCACTTCTAACATCCTCAAAGCATGTACTGAGAGATCCCACAGAGCTCCTCAACCATCTCCTTCCTGAGCAACCAAGATTGTTAACCTCAACCCAAAGGCCCTGGTCTCTAGGGAAATGCTCTGGGGTGCTCCACTTGCCTCACTTGGATTGGTTTGGTTTTGGGTTTCTTTTATAAGAAAACAAAAAAAGAAGCCACTTCTAACCTCCCCAGCGCATGTACTGAGAGATCCCACAGAGCTCCTCAACCATCTCCTTCCTGAGCAACCAAGATTGTTAACCTCAACCCAAAGGCCCTGGTCTCTAGGGAAATGCTCTGGGGTGCTCCACCCCAGCCTTGCACACCCCTCACCCCCCCCAGGCCACACGCACACCCCGGTGTGTGTCCCCTGTTCTCCAGGTACCCTCCCCAGTCCCTCCTTCTTCTGCTCTGTGCATCCATGTCCTGTCCCCTCCTGGAGCACTGACCCCAAATACTGTTGGGTTGAGCTCAAACCCTCGCTTTACTCAAGCCAAAAACTGCAGAACTGACGTTTTATCTATAGTCAGGGCTTAATAGGTTTAGCTAGAGGGGTATTTTAAAATGGATTTCATTTAAACCTGTGAAATCCCCGCACACTCACTCTTCAATCTGTTCAAGTCTGCCTCACAGCAATTAAACTTAATTACTGAATTACAGTGAATCAGCATAAACCAGATTTGAATTGGTCTACAATGCCTACACAGAGGATTCTGTGGGATTAATTTAAAAACAACTAAAAAACTTACTAGTGAAACTTGTGTGACATTGAGTGGGGACAAGTCCCCAAAACATTGACCCTCGCTGTCACTAGTAAATAAACTCCTTTTTGTTGCTGCATTGTCAAAGCAAATTAATAGCAAATTCTGCAAACTGTCACACTCCAGGGGCCTGTTTCCAGAACCAGCTTTCCAAGAGCCTCCCTCTCTGTTGTTTTGTTTTATAGGGTTGGAAGACACACACGTAAATACGCATGAAGCCACCAGAGAAAAGCAATAGTTGTGAAAAACCTCCTCTGGGTGGGATGGCCAGGACCAAGCAGGGAGACCCCTGAACAGCCAGAGTTTGTACCCCTGATTTTCAGCCTCCTCTCGTGCTGATGGAGGGCACCCACACGTTGGTGTGAACACACACACAATCCCCCCAAGCTCCTGTGGTCGAAGCTTGTCTGGATTTGACCCACTTCAAGGTCAGGGCTACGAGGAGGTCCCTCCAGCCCCCATCCCTGGCTCCGGCAGCAGATGTTTGCAGGAGGGGAGAGGAAGAGGCAGGAACAGAGCGAGTCGCTCCTGCTGCTCCCTCCCAGCTCCCTGCAGCGCCAGGATTTGCCGAGCCAAAGGCAGTGTCCGTGTCAGCAGCCGTTGGCAGAGACTCGAGCCCAAGTCTCCCCATCCTGGGGAGCGCTGGAGGATACTTCTGCTCAGCTGGCTGGGCTGCCCAAGACTTCCTTGGGCACACACCGCTTGCTTTGGCTCGCTTTTGAGCTTTCGTGATGTTTTGTGAAGTCTCCAACTCCTCCTAAAGCAGAACGGGATGCATTTTTAAATCTCAGCAACACCTTGGGGGGGTAGGAAAGGTGGTTGTGGCACAGCAGCACACAACAGCCCCTCCGCAGGCTCCGCTCTCTGAACAGAGAAGGGAAGGGAAGGAGGTGGAAGGGTTTGGTTTAGTTCCTAACTCCCCCTTTTTTTCACCAAATGGCAGGGGGATCAGCAAAATATACCCCAGAAGCTACAAAACTGGAATGAAGAGGTAAAAGAGGAGTGAGGCAGAAAGATTTCTTACAAAAGGAAATGCAATTTTGGAATTTTGGAATGAAACAGCAGTTTGATGGGAAACATCTACTTTTAAAATACCTCGGTCCCCTTCTTCTCTATTACAAGTTGATCTTCACAAATATTTCTCCAGCTTAACCTCCCATTGTCTTAGACGAGTTATTTTAATGTCTGGCAGAGGTTCAGCTCAGGCTATTATTTCAACAATGTTGAAAGTGTCTTAGTAACAAGGGAAATGGTCGGGGTAGTATTATCTCCTGCTGCAGACATAGACATCTGGGAGAGATTACAGCCTGAGAAAATAAAAATAAATATGTCCAGGGAGCCCATCCTGGGAATTCCTCTCATTTCAGCAAATGAGCACCCCAAAAACCATACCCTTCCTCCAAACTCCCCCGCTGCTCCTGCTCCTTCCAGCTGGTGATGAATGGCTTCATTCCGTTTAGTCTGACAGCGTGTCTGTACCTGTAACGTCATCCGGGGCTGAAAAACTGCAGCTTAAAACTGATACCCCTGGCGATGTGCGGGGCGAGCCAGATCTAAGGCGATACGCCCAGATGTTAGCCACTGGTGAAAGGCAACCAGAAAGGGTCTGATCGCGTGCCAGCAGCCGTCTGTCACGCCGCCAAAAAGCGCACCGTTGGCTCCGGATCTCTGCGCCTCCTGTTTTCCGAGTTATAATCAAGGTATCAAAAAACCAGGGGGAAAGTAGCAGCCGGAAAGCAGTGAAAGGCCCTTTGTGTTTTTTGGACCCAGGGGAACCTTATGTTCCAACGCTGGAGCTGCCCCGTCGGGTCAGCCAAGGGCACCCGCCGAGCGCGGCTTCTTTGCTGGTGGTGGTCACAACTGGAGGGAGAAACGGTAAATCTGCCCAGCTGGCACAAAAAAAAAGAGCCTCAGACTGTGCTGAAGAGCATCCACACACCATCCAGGCTGTAGACACACGGCCTTGCCGACCTGGGATCCCTGGGAAAAATCACAACTGAAAAAAATCACCATATATTTCCTGAAGCATCCAAACGGATGGTGCTTCCTACCCTGCTCTGCTCAAGCCAAGCTGCCCGTGTAACGGCTCACCCTGACGGTTCAGCCTGTTGCCAGGTTTTTATTTCCATTTCTACATAATCATGGGGAAATAGATTTTCCTTTCATGCAGGTGGAGAAGTGGAGTAACGTTGGGAGGCACCATGAGGACACGTGTGTTGGGATACACGGGATGTTTGTGCATATCCCAGCCAAAGGGAAGGATGGGAGAATTAGCTTGCCATGGAAGCTCCTGCCTGTCTTCTCCTGTGCCCATCCTCCCTGCTCCCTCCGGACCTCCTGTGCCAAGCAGGGATCTCTCACACCTCAGCTAAAGCAGAAAATGCCACAGCTTTTAACCCCAGCAGCCCCACAATTCAGTCCTTGCACTGACCAAACTGATTGCTATTTTCTTCGTTGCAGCCAAAAAAATCAGGGTGAGTTTTCCCAAACCCAGCTGATTTTCCCCTCTGCCAGCAGTCCCGAGAGGTAGGGCAACCTCCATATGAGCCAGAGAAGCCCAGAAAACATCTTTCCAAAGCTTTCACCTTTCGTGTGCCCACAGGTCCTGTGCAGAGCTGCCCGCGCTGCTCCTGACATCAAGCCCCAACAATCACAACCTTCTTCCTCTGCTGGGTCGCAGTGTCTTC